AGGTATGAAATCTTCTGAAGTGATCCCAGGGACAAAGCTTCAGAAAGCGAAATCAGTGTTCAACTCTGGACCACAGACACAAAGCAAAAAATATTCTGAGTTGATTCAAGGGACAAAGCTTCAAGATGTAAAATCCTTAGAGTTTAACTGTGGACTGAAGTTACAAGGTGGGAAATCTGATTTAACACAGAGGAGGAAGCTTCAAGGTGTGAAATCAGTGGAGTTCAACCCTGGACCACAGAGACAGGGTGAGAAATCTGATTTGATGCTACAGTGGAGGCTTCAAGATTTGAAATCTGTTGTTCCATGGCTGCAAGGTGTGACACCTTCAGAGTTAACACCAGAGACAAAGCTTCAAAGTGGAGAATCTGTGGAGTTCATCACCAGGCCAGTGTGGCAAGATATGAAACCTTTTGAATTGACTCTTGGTACAAAGGTACAAGATGTGAAATCTTTGGGATTTAACTCAGCTCCACAGTTACAAGACAGGAAATTGTCTATGTTGACACCAGAGGCACACCTTCAAGGTGTAAAATCTATGGAATTCAACCCTGAGGCAAAATTGCAAGGTGCAAAATCTTCTGAACAAAAAAAAAAAAAAAAAAAATCTTCTGAACATATAAAGCTTCAACTAATGAACTCTACTGAGGTCAACCCTGGTCTAGAATTCAAGGTTGCAAAACCCTCTGAGTTGGCCTTGGAATCAAAGATTCATAGCGGAATATTGTCTGAGATCAGTGGTAGAAAGCAGTGGCAAGATGAGAAATCTTATAAGTTGAATCCATGGCCAGAACTTCAAAGTGTAAAAGTCATGGTGTTCAATCCTGGGACACATTCGCAACATATAAAATCTTCAGAATTATGTAAAGGGACAAAGCTTCAAGATGTGAAATCTTTGGAATTCAATCCTGACCAACAGTTGCAAGATGTGAACTCTTCTGATTTTTGTCTGGGAACAAGGCTTCACGGTATTCAATATTTTGAGTTCAATCCTCAACCACAGTTGCAAGAGGTAAAACCTGAGTTGAGCACAGAAATGAAGCTTCCAGATGAGCAGTTTCTGGAATTCAAGCATAAGCCTAAATTACAAGGTGGGAAATGCTCTGAACAGAATCCAGGGCCACAGCTTCAGTGTGTAAATTATATGCCAGTCAACACTGGGTCACAGGTGCAAGGTATAAAGTCCTCTGGGTTGAATCCTAGTCCACAGCTTCAAGGTAGAAAATCTAAGGTGCTCTGCATTGGGCCTAATTTGCAAGGTGTGAATTCTTCTGCATTCATTTCAGAACCAAAACTTCAATGTGTAATTTCTACTGGATGCAACCCCGGGCCACATTTGCAAGGCACAAACACTTCTGAATTAACTTCCATTTCTAAACTTCAAGGTATGAATTCTTCTAAGTTAAATTCTGAGATCCCAGGAGTGGATGTCATATCTAATGAAAGGATTAAGAGGAAACAGGTGGAGGAGTCAGGGAGCTCACTCCGGAGCCTTTCCCACCATCCACCACAAAACTGGAGATCACTATCTAGGATCTTCCAGGCAGGATCAGGGGCTCGAAGAGGCCTTACCTGGCCTGTCCTGGGCAGGCGACAGAATGTCTGGGAAAGTCACTCCTGGAGGCAGCGACTACCTCGAAAATACCTCTCCAGTATGCTAACGCTGGGCAATGTCTTGGGGACCAGCATGGAAAGGAAGCTTTATTCTCAAACATCTTTAACAGAAAGAGCCACTGCAGATACCTGTCAATCTATTCAGAATTTATTTGGGGTTCCAGTTGAATTGATGGCATTTTCCCAGAGTCTGCTTGAGAAGGGTCAAGGTACTATTTCTCAGCCTTCAGTTGTCAAAAACTACATTCAGAGACATACTTCATGCCATGGTCATGAGAAGAGAATGGCCTTAAGGATGTGGACACGTGTCTCCATGTCCTCCATAATACAGCACTACTCTGGCACTAGAGTGAGAATAAAGAAAACAAACTCAAAGCCCTGTGATATATCCCAGGAAGTCACTCAGCACATGCCTGTTTCATGTACAGGGAGTCAGCTTTCTGCCCCAGCAAAGTCAGAGTCTTCCTTCAACGTATTTTTTGCTAGGAGAGATTCTGTTCCAGTGGAAGAGAGTAAGAACTCACAGAGTGATTCACAGACAAGGATTTTTGAGTCCCAACACTCCCTCAAGCCAAGTTATCTTCCCCAGGCCAAGTCTGACTTCTCCGAACAGTTCCAGCTTCTACAAGATCTGCAGCTAAAAATAGCAGCAAAACTGTTAAGGAGTCAAATACCCCCCAACGTACGTCCACCTTTAGCTTCAGGTCTGGTTCTAAAATACCCTATCTGCCTACAGTGTGGCCGATGTTCAGGATTTAATTGCTGTCATAAATTACAGGCCACTTTTGGAACTTATCTTCTTATCTATCCACAGCTTCACCTTGTAAGCACTCCTGAAGGCCGTGGAGAGATCAGGTTGCGTCTTGGCTTTAGGTTGCAAACTAGGAAAAGACCCCAAGTCCCAGAGTTTCATAGAAGAGGTAGACGCATCACACCAAGGAGCCTTAGATCAACATCACTAAGGAAAGCTAAAGGCTATACTCAAGCTTCCAAGAGTCCTACTTCTACAATAGATTTCCTGTCTGGGTCTTCCCAGTGTCCTGCTCCTATACAAGTCCACATCAGGCGAAGGCAAGGCAGCAGCCCTGGCCTAGTAGAAAAGACAGAAATTAGAGAGGCTGGACACTATGGATTCACTGAAGTTCACTGTTTATCAGAGAGTGACTCTGGAAGCAATCAGGATGAAAAGTGGGCTAAAGTGAGAACAAAAAGGACCCATGATTCAAAACATCCAATGAAAAGAATCCCCAGGGAAGTCAGAACACAAAACACAAAGTTCTACACAAATAGTACAGCCATAATACAGAGGTTCTCTAAGGAATTACCAAGCCAGTTAAGAAGGAAGAGGAGTGGAGTGTCTCAGACAACTACCGCCTCTTCAAAAAGACAACCTAAGAAATCTTCCCCACCACAATTCATTCAACTCCTTTTTCGGGGCCTAAAGCAGGCATTCCAAACAGCACACATGGCTTTGGTTTGTGTTTAGTTTCTTAGGACAGGGCCGAAAGTAAGCTCATCACACGAGATGAATTGTGCCAAAGCACAGCAGTAGAGGGCTGCCGCTCGCTCAGGCAAAACAGCGCCATCTGTCCTGCTGTGGTAACTTTCATTAAAGTATTATCTAGATTTACACTTTAAGACTTGTTTTCTTAACATTTCAGAAGT